CTCCGCTCCCCCCCCCCCCCGCCGTTCATGGCGTCGCGATACTCCTCAAGCTCGCCACCCCCGACAAACCGCCAATCGCCTCCCTCACTGTGCCCATCCAATTCAGCAAGGGGACAGCAGCCGCACCTCATTGTACACCTCCAGGTAGGAGCACACCACGCTGAAATCCTCAGCGCTGCGGCCGGGGGCGAGGGCCTCCCGCTGCTGGAAGATCTCCGCTAGGGATCTCACCATCAGCCCGGGATCGGAGGGGGTGCCTTGGCGGCCAGGCGCAGCAGCGGCAATAGTGGGAATTTGAAGGGACGCGGGCAGGTGGTGGACGGGCTTTGTCCTTGGGGGGGGGGGGTGTGTGGAACCGGCTGGTGGGTGCGCAGATGGTACCCCACACATCCAGCGGAGTCACGGCACGCCGCACCCCGCTAATCAGTCCGCGGGGCTCTTGCGGCCCGCCCCGCTCACCGACCATGGTGTGGGTCTTGCCCGACCCCGTGGCGCCGTACGCGAACACGGTGCCGTTGAGGCCCTGCACCACGCCCAGCGCCAGTTCCCTGATCGTGCCCTCGTACACATCCCTGCAGCGCAAGCACGCAACCGCATCGCGCGCGGCGCGACGGGCGGGCGGGGGCGGCCGGGCCGGGGCGGGGGGCGCGGCTCAGCCTCGGCGGCGGGCCGCCGTCCGTCCGTTGCGGCGCGCACAGGAGACGTGCACTGTGCAGGGGACCGGCCTCGCCCCTGCAGCGCAGCCTGCGCGCTGCGCTCTGCATTCCGACACGTGAGGCCCGTGGCCCTCGCCTCTCATGGGCGGCGCCGCGGACGCGGCGCGCCGCTTCGCCCCCACGTGTGCTCATGCGCGTTGTGCGCGCCTGTTGGTGGCCGAGTTGTCAAAGGCGCTGTCGAAGGTGTAGCGCTTCTCCTTGGTTCGGTTCTGGACCTGGTCAAGATAGTCCTGCAGGCAGGATCGCACCCGATTGGTGCAGGTAGGTGGGGGGAGATGCAGGGTGGGCACATGCAAGGTGGGCCGTCAAAATCTTGATAGTGCATGCATATGGAGGAGGAGAGGGGGGCATACAAGAGGAGCCGTTGAAACTGTCATGAACAGGAGGGTATGGAATGCTGCGGCTGACGGAGCAGGCCGCGATGGACGTGAGAAGAGCGCGCGCAGCGCGGCGCGCGTGGCGCGATCGGGCTGAGCCTGGTCGACTCTCGCGCCTGCCGCGATGTGGTGCCGTCGGTTGCGGCTTGCCAATACCACTGCCCTCCTTTCACACCAGGGGTCTTATTCCAAGCGTGGGCGCCACGTCATCACCACCCCTGCCCCCAGACGCTCGGATTCTACAGCCCTGACAAAACCACACACCTTGGTCTCATCTGGGTCCAGCACCACCACTATCTTCTTGTCAATGACTCGCACAATGTCCTTCTTCGGACTCCCCTCAGCCTTGAGCAGCGGCCGCACGCGCACCGCAACAGACAGCGTCGCCTGCTGCTTACTGGCCACAGGCACCTGCGCCCATCGACACGGTCGGCGCGGTGGGTGTGTGATATGAAGTGTAAATGGCGAGCGTGCGGCACGCATTGATTTTGCAATCCCTTCAGTTGAATGCAAGGGCACTGGATGCTATCCGCCCTGCTCTTGCTGGGTGCTCGCCGGCAGTCGTTAATTGCATCGCAGGCTGAATCCAGCAGGTCACGCTGGACTCCATGACTCCATGCTTGCCCCTTGACGCCGTGCTGCCTGGCAATATGCCGCTTCTGTCAACTGTATTGACGCCACCATCCTTGCTGTGTTTTCGTCACGACCGACACTGCGAACTCATACTGCGGCAGCGGCGCAGCAGCAGATGCTGCACCTGCTTGCAGACCTGCCATGCCGCGCCCGCAGGTCCTTTGCAGTGGCCAACTCACCCGGTTGACATTGACCACGCTTCCAACTCTTGGGGCATAGGGAGTCTGCGGGCTCGACGACATGCTCTACGCCCGAGAACGGGGATGACCAAAGCCCGATCGGGCCATAACCGAGGCCACTCGAGACGCCGAGCAGTGTATTAGCGCGATTTTTGTATATTTGACATGCGTGCGTGCCTGATGGGCAGTGATGGGTAATCTGTCCCTTGCTACGACAGGCCAATTGGCAACGTCGCTGGCTACATGCGCGAACAAGGATGAAATGCAAATTTATCACGCCTTGTGAAAGCTCGTAGCGGCTCTCAGTGCAGCTGCTGGCATGAACGGCCATCAGCGTCGTAACCCCCTGGGCAGTGCGCGAACTTGCGTGCGCATGCGACACCCCGCCCGACCGCCCAGACACAGCATCTTGGTTACACCTCATGCAGAGCGTGCCCATCACCGCCGCTTCTCCACTGACGCATTGCTACCGGCCGCCGCAAGCGCTCCGCCTTCGCCCTCCCCTGCAGGATCACCACCCTCGAGTGTGCCGCCGCCCGCCGCTGGCTGCGCCGCCCCCGCCTTTGCTGTCGCCGCCTTGAGCCGCGCTGCACGCGCCGCACTGGAGAGGTCCTTGCTGAGCAGCACTGAGCGCTCGTAGAACTGCGGCACCGCGCACGAGCCCCGCAGGGGGTGGAGACGGGTGAGAGTGTGACATCTTGGCGCATGCACCGCACATGCGCTCACAAAGGCTGCGCACTTCGGGCTGTGTGCAACCACGCCCCCACCGCCCCCACCTGCCGCGGCCGTCGCGCGCCCGGCGGCGTCCGGACGTGTACCCCACCTGCAACGCCGGGAACTCGCTCGCCAGCGCCCGCGCCTGCCGCCCGTTGAGCCGCGAGAAGCCAAACTTGTCGGTCATGACCCCGAGCGCGTCCGGCTCGTCGGCTGCCGCGACAGCCAGCAGCCGCCGCACGCGCGCCTTGGAGCCCAGGAACTGCTCGGCTGCGTGGAGCAGCGCGGTGCCGTGGCCCTGGGCGCGCAGCTCGAATTTGGTTGTGAAGAGATCCACTGCGGCAAGATCCTGTACAGTGGACGGTGGTGTGGTGGGCGATATGCCTGGGTGTGTTTGCGTGCGTGTGTGTGTATGTGTGTGTGCGTGCGTGTGTGTGTGTGTGTGTGCGCGCGCGCTCATGCACACGCTTGTGAATATGCATGCTTGCGGTCGTGCAAATATGTGCATTCTGTTGCAAAGAATTATAAGACTCGTGTCATTACCCATGAAGCTCACACACAGCATGGGCTGCACTGCCCAGAGGCGTGCCGGAAGTGCACATTGGAGGAGCAGCAGAGCTGCCCCACGCCCCTCGCCCGCCAGGCCAAACCCATGCCGGCTCAACGCCGCCCACCCCAAACCCCATCTGTATCACACCCCGCATTGCGGCGAGTGGGCGCCCGTGGCGTGGGGTGGACCGGGGTCAAGTTGACGCGCGCCCCCGCACGCACCGCTGCCTTCCGCAGCACTCAGCCCTCTTCGCAACCTCCAGTCCACTCCCCCAACCCCTTTCCCCAGGGTCGTGCCCGTGGCCAGCCCCCAACGCAGCGCCTCCCACGCCCACCGTGCCATACACGTCGAGCGTCGCAGCCGTGATGGGCTGCGTGCCGCTGGTGAGCAGCAGGGCGTAGCCCGTGCCGTCCAGCAGCTGGTCCGCAACGCCCGGGCCCTGCGGCGTTGGCGGCGCCGAGGGCGGACGCGCGTGAGACAGCCGGGTGGCCGCTGCTGCGCGGTTCCGAGCTCGTTGGTTGGGATCATAACCAGGCCCTGGCCTGCATGACACGCAGCTGCCTGCTGCGAGGCTGTTGCCAAGCCAGCGCACTTCCTGCGAGCACGTTCGTGCCGCCAGCACCGCTCGCCCGGCCCCAAAGTGAACTGTACATTGGCCTCTGCGCACTCACGTACTCAGGCGCCAGCACCTCCAAAAGCGCGTGAAGCTGCTGCTTTTTGGCACCAACGCCGTCGCGCCCGCCAAGCCCGCGCCGCAGCGGCACGAGCTGCCAAGCGCGCCCGCCCGGCAGCGCCGCCGCGCCCTTGCTGGCCTGCTGCTGCAGCGCCGCAGCTGCACGTTTGCAGCCCTCGTCATGGAACCAGCTACCGTCGCGGGATGCGCCGGTGGCGACGCCGCTGCGCTCGCAGCAGCGCTCGTGGAAGCAGCGGCGGCAGCCGTCGCAAACGAGGTAGTCGCCAGGATCGACGCCGCTGCGGCCGCCGCGCCTTTGCGCTCTTGAGAGCAGAGGCTTGCTGCAGGACGCGCAGTTGACACTGTGTCAACATGGGTGGAGCAGGATTGCGTAGGTGTGTGCATATGCTTGGGGGGGCGGGAGTGAGGGCATGTGGGGTGATGGGGCGCAGGGCACCGCATCAGGGGTGCTGGCAAACTCATGCCTATCTTTCCACCAACCTATGATACCGCTTCTCAACAGGTAGGCCGTGCACAAACTGTCTATGCTGTTTTTATTGTTAGCAAGCAACAAGTCACGGCGGGCGTGCCACGTGCAGGGGCGCAGCCCACCTCTGCAAAAACTGCAGGTCAACCTGAGACGCAGTGTCGTCACCCGACTCGCTGCTGCTGCCCTCGCCTCCTTCGCCGCTGATCCCAGCGGACTCCTCGCTGCTGTCCGCGGGCGCGGCTCGCGTGGCCGCTGCCAGGCTGGACAGCGGCGCCGCAGGGGCGCGGGTGCCCATGGAAAAGCTGGCAAACGGCGCACCGCGTTGCCGACCAGCGGGAAACGGCGCACCTGGCAGCAGCAACAGCGCGAATGCAGGATGCGCCACATGCGTTTGTTGGGCACATACGGAAGCATGTGCAAGTGGCAGCAACTGCCCTGCGATTATTCTGAGCTCACCAAATGCAAACCGCAGCGGCAGCCGCCGCTCGCCGCTGGTCACTGCACTGCCAGTGTTGAAGGCGAGTGCCGCTGGACCGTTGGTCACGAATCGGCACTGCCCTTGCTTTGAAGCGGTCATGCTGCGTTGGGCTTGCGTGCCCAGGGCCGAGTTTAACTGCGCTGGTGGGCCTGCGATCAGATCCAACCAGGATATATAGAACTGTACGTTTTCGAGTTGCCGTGATTGTATCCAACCGAGTATTTCAAATTACCGTCTGCGTTCCAGGTCGCACTGTAAAGCTCACGAGGCCCCAAGGCAGCGGTGTGTGCTGCGTCCAGGCCAGCTCACACAGTGTCATCCGGTCCGGGCTGTTTTCCTGTCATTTGGACAGACGCTGCGGTGCTGTGACTTGAGGGGGGGCAGTATACTGATGTCGAAGATGTCGGCACATTGCAAAAGTGAGTGTCGAACGTGTATGAGCCGCCGGTATGAGCTCATACATGGTCAGCAGGGCTGACGACAGCGAAAGCAGACAGCTCGCCCTGCTCAAGGATAGCAGCCTGTGCGCTGGGCCTCAAGGATAGTCGGAGGGATGATTGAGAGCAAGGCAAACCATAGAAACATCTGTGGAAGCTCAGAAGTCAGCCACATCCACACCTTGTGATGACCCAGCAGCTGCACAAACAACTTTCGCCATAGGAGCAGCGCCAGTAGTAGGAGCAGCCGCAGCCGCCGCCGCCGCCGCCGCAGCAGCAGCAGCAGCAGCAGCAGCAGCGGATGCAGGGGTGGTGGGGCCGTACGTAGTCGGGCGGGTGCGGCACATAATGCCCCCCTTGCAAGAGCAATGGTGGGGGCGCACAGGACACACCCAGGAGACAGGAGACATGCCTGGCCCTGGGCCTGGGGCCTCTCCAAGGCACAAGCGGGCCAGTTGTGGTCTGGTTTGTTACAATCATCTAGGGTTTTTCTTGCTTTGCTATGTTACAATCGTCTAGGCTAGCTAGACTCCTCCCGCCACTGTGACCTGTGGCTTTGCTTTGCTTTGCTTTGCTTTGCTTTGCTTTGCTTTGCTTTGCTTTGCTTTGCTTTGCTTTGCTTTGCTTTGCTTTGCTTTGCTTTGCTTTGCTTTGCTTTGCTTTGCTTTGCTTTGCTTTGCTTTGCTTTGCTTTGCTTTGCTTTGCTTTGCTTTGCTTTGCTTTGCTTTGTTACAATCGTCTAGGCTAGCTAGGCTCCTCCCGCCACTGTGACCAACCGGTGTGAAACAACAACAGGGCTTTAAACACAATAGGGCTTTAAACACAAGCTAGCCGCCCACTGGGCGGCTTGGCAAGGCAGGCAGCAACACACGTAACAACATACAAGCCAAGATAAAGCCGCAGATATACAAACAG